TTGGAACTAATTCATTTCATTGAGCAAGTCATAACATGTAATATTCATTTTTCTTTCTTTAACATTACATTCATTTCATTCTTTTCTTTCAACATTTTCATATGCAATGTAAATGCAAAAATGCTTATGTTAAATGTATACACCCGTCCCAGAAGTACCAGTTTTCGTACTGATCAGGTACACAGTCAAATTTTTGACCATTTTCTTTACCATTGGCTCTACGAGCCTCCTTTACCATTTTTGGCACTTACGGATCAACATGCACATGAAATTGTTAATGCTTTTATATCTTTCAATTATGCTCAATCATCTTTCATAAGCTTCATAAATTTGTATACTTAAGTGTTATTCATATGCTTTAAATACTTTCTAAATAATGCATAAACTAGAAATATGAATTTGCAGAATATTCTTTCAATCATTTAAATATAAAACATTTGACAGTAAATAAAACATTTTGACAGTAAAATAAATGCATAAAATTTCATTTTAAGCATAAATAAATTTTGCACTTATAAACTTAAATGAGGTATGAACACCTACCTCTCTTAAGCACAGTATGTCGCTTCGACCAAGTTCTTACACCTTACACTTCAACGATCACAACCTAAGAAATTTATAAAAGAGACGTGTTACAAAACTCAATAATCAAATTCCTAAGTCTTGATCTTTTATTTCCCCTTAACAAAATCCTACGACACTTAATGGATATTTAATTAAATAAATCTTAATTTTCGTATTTAATTAAATCTAAATTTTCAGATGTTCATAAATCTTCAATTTCATCAAAACATTGCTCTAAATTAATCCTCAACATATTTTTATAATTATAAATTAAATTTTCGGATTAAAATAATTAGGAAATTAAGAAAAAATAAAAATTTTCCTAAAAATCAAAATTTTCATTATTAAAGTATTCCTCATACCCTAAGGAACAAAAATTGTAAAAAGATTTTCTTAAAATCATAGATTAAGAAAAACCCTAATCTTGCAAAACTCAAATTAAAGTGAGAAAAATTCGTTTCTACCCTTAAATTACTTCCCTAAATCTTTCCTATTGATTTCGTAACAAAATTTAGAAGAAAACACAAAAATCTATAAAACCCTAGAAAACTCTTTCCAAAAGTTTAAAGATCTAGAAAGTTTCGTTTTAAAATAATCATACCAGAACACTCCTTTCGTCGTCATCTTCGATTTGGACTAAATCTTTCGTTGGAAGATCGTCGCCGGAGCCACCCTCGCGGAACCCGCACCGTCCGCCTCTCCTCTCGGTTTCGGCTGATTCGTGTGAATAGAAGAGGGAGGGTTCGGTTTATGCTATTAAGGGAGAAAGGGTTTCGTAATTGACCCTCTCGCCCTTAATCTATTTTGGCCTTAATACTTATGAGGGGTAAAATCGGCATTTTCAGGAGTAAATCAATTATAATTCTTAAAATAAATAAAATTAGGTATATGTGTTATATATCAAAACGATCAGAATTTTGCGTAGGATTTTCTAAAATTATTTCCGTTAAAATCCAAAAATCTTGAATTTTTCACTTAAAACTCATCGCGGTGCTTTGAAAAGCGTGTGACGACCTAATAATGTTGTTTTCGGATTTTACACCTGCTCCTTGCCCTCTCTCCTAGATCTGACAACTATGCATGTCTCTCACCTGGCCCCACTCTCCAACCCACACTGACCCACTTAATCTACTCTCTCATCGATGATTTTAATATTGATAGAGGTCTCTGAGTTTGCGAGAAATCCCGTTCTCTAACACCACCGACCTCCCACTTTCTACCTCTCCCTCTCTAGATCTCTCTCTCTTTATATCTCTTCCACCCTTTTTATCTTTGAATAGAGAGAGAAATCTCTTTCTTCTTCACTCTCTTTCCTTCACACATAATCTCTCCCTCTCTTGCTCTCTCTTTTTCTTTCTTCCTAGCTCTCTCTAAATAGAGAGAAATCTCTCTTTCCATCTTTCTCTCTCTAACTCTCTCATTTTTCAAAAAAAATTGAAAAAAATAAATAAAAGAAGTGTTTTTGTATTTTTGCCCTCGCAATCTCATGGCTTTGTCATCATCATCATCACCATGCATGCAAGGTATTATTGCAAAAACTCGAAACCTATGTTGCACGGATACACTTATTTATAAAGGCGTGCTGTATCCGATACACCGATACACGAATACGCCTCCGATACTCCACCGATACGTGTCGGATACGCCAAAGCTGTATCCAATTAAAATATTATTTAATTTCAAAAGGACACGCGTATCCGATATGCGTGTCCATTATCCATTGAAAAACAAAAAGAAATCTGAAAAAAAAGACGTCGTATTTACTTTCGTGGTTGCGAGCAAGATTCTCTCATTTTCGAGATGGATTTGAGTCTCTTGATGATATGAAAATATTAAAAATTACTAATCTTTCACTTGATGAGCATGAATTAGAAGCTATGATATTTATTGAAGATGATATAGAAGTTCAAAGACAAATCAATGAAGAAGATAATTATATCATTCATTCTATTGAATAGTTGAAACTTCATGTGCTAGATAATTTATGTTTATGCTTTTGTTGTTGTACTAGACATTTAATGATTACTTAAAATTTGATATTATAAGCTAAAAGGCTACAAATGATGTTGTCATTTTTTTGTAATTTCAAATATTATGTTTTGATTGTTTCCTTAATTTTTATGTATGATTTATAAATTATAATGTCGTGTCCGCGCCGTACCCATATCCTGTATTTTTAAGAATTGACGTGTCCCGTATTCATATCATGTCGTATCTGTGTCGCCGTATCCGTATCAGTGCAACATAGCTCGAAACTAAATATTTGTGCACATTGTTCCAAAGTGGTATCAATAAAGGCTTGATGTTGTTGTTGTATTGTTCCAAAGTGGCATGTAAATTATGCTAAAGTACTTTGCGTTTTCTTTTCCAATGCGGAAGAAAACTCTATACATTCGCTTGTGAAAGTACACAAACGCTTACGCACATTTTTTTAACTATAATGGGATAAAAGACCCCCGACTGCGATATCTCATGATACCAACCATGCATGCTATTTTCTAGGTGGCGAGAAGGCCTAATACTCTCGAAGGCAACCTCCATGTAGGGAAGAAGCCAATAGATTACTGAAATTTACAACAATAGAGGACTCTAATAGCTCAACCATGGATGCTATTTTTTATGAAGATTATCTTATGATTATTTTTATTGGTTGTTTACCCTTATTTATAGCTGACATAGATGTTGACTTCTTTTCAAATACCTTTCAATGTTTCAGTCTTTTTCTCTTCAGGACTATCTTTCAGAAATGATAACCGAGATGCTTCCTCTTGTAGATTGTTTCCTTTTCTAAAATAATTTTCAAATGTTAGGAGGAAGGCAATTGGCTCATGAATATTTTTCAACAAGATTTCTATAGCGTACTATTCGTATAATTACGGTTCATATTTCATTGATAGGTTCCTCCAGCTCAAAATGTGCTCTAATAGAGACTCACAGGGTTTCTGCTTTTCAACAATCAAATCACCTATAGTGATACGGTATTGATCCCCAACAAATCTTTTCAAGAACAAGCTCTTTAATTCATTAAAAGTTCTGACTGACCCATTAGATAGATTGATGTACCAGTCAAATACTGCTCCAGAAAGGCTACTGTAAAATTGTCTAAACAGAAGAGCTTCACTACCTCCGGTGTTGTAACAACTGCACGAAAGCGATTTAAATGTTGTTTTGGGTTCTCCGACTCATGAAATAAATCAAATTCCTCTGAGTAGGTCTATCCTTTAGAATAGATTAAGCTCCTTGAGATTGGATTAATGCCTCCCTTACCTGGCTCTATCAACTGTTTGATATCCTCTTCAATTGGAGATGTCTCTATACTTTTATGCTGACTTTGTTCTCTTTCGTGTGATTTTTGTTTATTAGACACATGAACTGTAGGTTGAGAGGATTCATCCCGAGCTCGCTATGTCATCAACACGTGCATCTACAACTCTATTATTGCAGCTTTATTGTCAACAAGAAACTTGATCTCAATAATTGACTACCTTTCATAAGATGCTAAACTTCATAACATGGGATGGACCCGTTGAGTGTTGAGTCAAAGGATAAAGCCAGCCATAACAATCATTTTTTCAAAGAATAAGACAGCTTCAATCAAGAGTATTTTTCAAGCATCAGGCTAGCAATATAATTAACAAAGCGGGCTAGAGCACATAGGAAACCTCGATCCCCCATAATTAAAATAATCTTCGTCAGCTTTATCAGCAAGCCAGCGAAAATCTCTGAGACTTTATCATAATCGATCTTCCAAATTCCAAGCTGCCCAACAAAACTAAAAGAGTGAGAAAATCGACTGCACCACAAGCGGATGAGTGCTTTTGAAGCGCACAATGTCATACCATAACTTACCACTATCTCTTAGCATCATCCACTGATGATGGGAAGCTGCTTCTATTTGTAGCTTTAATGTGCCATTGCTAGTTGCTATCATTTGGAGATGCTACCAATGACAAATGATTACAATGCTTATCATTCATCCTCTACTTTATTAGCCAACATACATGTCAACAGTGACCAGCACCTATAATGTAGCAATTCTTCTTGATTTGGAGGTAATATGATATCATAAGAAAATCCCCTCTACAACTTGAGGGGTACTTGAGGGGGGCTCAGTTTTGTGCTTGATTAGAATTTCTATTATGGGCTAGGCCCAATGGTTTTCACTTCAAAGGTTTCCATATAAAATAAATGGCTTTACAACGGCTACATTTGCCCGAATTTTAAGCTAAGATAAATGCAAGCTCTTGCACCATTGAGTGGGAATTTCTTCCAACAATCTAAGAATGAGTAAATGCAATTTTTTTTTTTTTTTTGATAGCTAGTGCAATATATAAATACCTTGAAACCTAAAGCATTTCACATATCATGGGCAAGCATGAAAAATTATAGTAAATATAAAATGAATATGTCCACAATATTTAGATTCAGCAACTCACAGGTGTAAGTTCTCCCATCGTTCCAGTAGTCCAAACCTGTAAATGAAAATAAGTTGCCATTTGGATATTAAATGAATTAGTTTGCTAAAAAAAAAAGTATTGAAAACTATCTAAGAAGCTACAGTAACCAGAAGGAAAATCGAGTCCACACTACAATCTTTGTCACTTTAAAATAAGACATAAAATATTGAATCCTCAACTGATATTTCGTTAGATGGAGAAATTTATCACAAGCATTATCCATTATTCTTCTATCACACTGAACAGTAAAAGAGTGCAATGCAATCATAATTTGAAAATACTAATATTAAAGGAAAATCATGACCATGCCAAGATATATGAGATCAAATCAAACATTTTTTTACGGAAAAGATGGGTGCACTCTTCTAATTGCAACAACATAAATTTTGCAGTTACAAATAAAAAGAGAAATAATAAAATAGACATAAGGGAGTACAATACTAATTAAGGAAAATAATAATTCTAGAGGATCGAAAGGAATACGCTTCTCTTTTAGAATAGAATTGATGGTAGATGATTTCTTCCCTTTAGCAATGTGAATCAAGAAATAAGTGAGGTTCACAATGTTAAACCATAAAATCTTCTTTATTTTTCTCGCTAGGAAAACACTTAGCATTCATTTCATTCCAAATGATATATAATATATACCAAAGTTCTTTGAAGTCCTTGATATGAATATGGCTCCAAGAAGAAAAGATAGAATCTAAACATCAACATATGTATTTCTGCCAAAAGGAAAATAGAGCCTCACTCCAAATATTTGAGGTAAAATTGCAAACAATGAAGATATTATGGGCTCCAAAAGTTCGCACTTGCTCTGCTATGAGTTTTTAATTTCAAGTGGAATTTTTAAAAGATAGATTATATTGCAGATAAGACGTTACTCATATATTTTGACCTCATTTAAGATGTGATTCTCGGTTTCCAATGGGCATGGGCCTCTATGATTAATTAACTTCTTGATGACAGAAATTTTTTTATTAAGGCTAGTCATTGAAGCTAAGTGCTTGGCGTGTAGTAGCAATAAATTTAGTTTGACTGAAAAATTTATTGCTGCAAATGTAAAGTGGATGGTAAGGGAATAATGATGAACAAAATCAATATTGAGATTTTTGTTTGATTAAGAAAGTCATAATTTTGTTTGATTGAGATTTCCTATCAATGTGAATATCATTGAGATTTCTTAAATGCTTTATTAAGCTAAGTGCTTGGCCTCCGCTTTCTTTGTATTCTATCATTTATTTCCCTTTAAATTATTGTAAGGAGCATATAAATTTCTAGAGGTGTGACTTACAACCTAGATAACTGCAAGAGACAATAAACCATCAAAAATGACACAAGAAAATGAGAAACTGCTTTAAATAATTTAGAACTTTGATAGGAAATACTTGGATTTCCAAGTGTTTCTCACCAAAATCAGTAAAATTTCAGCAGTAAACTGCTGTCCACAGCAGCCAACAGCAGCCAAACAGCAGGAAACAGGGAAAACGTAGAGAAAAACACAAGTAGAAGCTTGTATTTCACTAGAAGAAGAAGAAAACAACAAAGATACAATTGATCCTCAATTTGAGAGGAGGATCGATCTCTCCCAAATCTCTAGACGCCGCTAGAGCCCAAAGAAAACCTAAATCTAAGAGATCTCAATTTCAGTCAAATTCAAGATGCCCAAACCTTAGGAAAAACCTATATTTAATGCATACAAATCAAAAGGAATTCCCTAAACAGTCCCTACATTCAAATTTCTCTCTGAAACCCCCTAAAAATCCTTCCTAAAACGCTTTATATGAGCGGCCGGCCGCTCGTTCTGGCGGAAACTCCGCCTATTTTGTGACTTCGCCCCCGAACCGGTCCCGCCTGGACCGGTCCAGTGGACCGGTCTAACAAACTTCAACTAAACTAGCACTGGATGGTTGTTCTTCTCGTGTAATTCTCAACGCCAGATCTCAATTACTTTTAATTTTTTCCCTATTTCCTTCTTTTTTTTTTATTTACTTACCTTTCTGTTAGTTGGAATGCATTTGTTTCTCTTCTTTTTTCTTCCTTGGCATCCTAACCTAACTCCACTAGTTCTCCTTTCATTTCACTTAAACACCCATTCTCCTCCCTTTTATGATTATATAGAAGCGCCTTGGATTAGTTAAGTACTATCTGCTGATATAAATATCAACAAATATAAAACGATGAAATATTTCATCAACAACTCCTTCCGATTGATGGACCTGAAGTTTGTAGGCTAGGCGATTAAAGCATGTATGTCAGAAAAACTTGTAATATATATGGATGAGAAAATCAGCAAGTAAATCAGAATAACAATACAGTACTTTATTTTTAGCCTTCAAAAGAGCCTTATTACTGTACAATTTAAAATGATAGCAAATGACAAGCTTGACCATTAATTGAACCAAAACATTGTTTAACAGAGATCTAGTTGGGTGCACACTAACTGTAACAGTGTTCATCTTTTTCTATAGACAATTTTAGTAATACAGTTCAGATTATTCTTCATAAGATCAGAAAGAAAAATGAGTTTCACCAAAAATTAGCAGATATTGAATGAAAAAATGAGAGAAAACCTTTGATCTATCTCTCAATATATATCTTGTATATATAGTCATTTTCCCCAATGTCACCCGCATTTTATATTTCAAGAAGATTAGGCAATAAAACTAGAATAACGAATAAGATAATCATTGAAATCTTTGATCAATGAGCATAAATATATTATTGTTCAAACTCAATATCAGACCGTTGACTGTGATCTACAACTTGAAAATTATTTATATTTATCATTAAGTTTCATCACAATATAATAGTGGTTTAGCCATTCATCAAGCATACAAAGAAAAAAAAAATGATATTATGGCAAGTAAAAGCCGATTAAAAAAGATTAGTTTTACCCATTTGTTTCACCGATCAAAGATGAAAATGCCATGGGAGAGAGAAATGAAAAATAAACTTGAACAATCATGTTAATAACAGAGAATCAATTTATTTCATGCTAAGAAGATCTAAAATGAAAGTAATTTTTTTTTAATGCAATTAATAAGAAAGTACAGAAAGCTATAGAGAGATGAGAGAGGATCTTTATATGAATTTTATTAACCTTGAAAAGGCATATGACCAAGTATCATAAAAACTGATTTGGTGCGGATCAAGGAAGAGAGGCATGTATTAAAGAGATGTTGAAGTTATTTAAAAAAGGTTAAATTTCAAAATGGGAAAATAACTAAAATAGTCCCTTAACTATTTATGAAGGACCAAAATAATCCTAAAATATATTAAAGAGTCACTTTGATCTCTCTAAGTCCTTAAAAAATAATAAAAAATAGTCCTATGGTGAAACTATTTTGATTACTCTTTAAAGAGTTGAAGGACCAAAATGATCTTTTAATATAGTTGGGAACCATTTTGGTCTTACACAGAGTCGTGGGATTGCATTTATCAATTTTGGATAGTCAAGAGACTAAATTGGGGGCATACGATACTCTGGGATTAAATTAGCCATATACAAATAATGTAGATACTATTTTAAGATTGTTAAAAAAAAAAAATGTAGTGGTGAATTGTATAATATTTAGGTGTGAAATGACCAAAGTGTTCCCAGATATAATAGGATATGTCAAGGATCAATATTAAATCCCTATTTTTTCTATTTTTGCGTTAAAGCGCTTACAACGATATTATAAGTGAGATACCTTCATGTATATTTCTTTTCCAAATGACATAATTCTAATTAGTAAGACATGCTAAAACAATTGAAAAGTTAAGACAATGAAGAAAATATTTAGAAGATATAAGGCTTAGGATTAGCAGAATAAAGTTTGTGTGATGTACAATTTTAGTAGGTGAAATATTAATCATTATCAACAAAAATTATTTGAAGATGATGATGGGTAAATTATCTTGGATCTATTATCTTGAAGAATGAGGCTGAAGATGAGGAAAAGACTTCTAGAATTAAGATTGCATGGTTAAAATGAAAACACACCTCAAGAATACCAAGCCTCCGAAGGATATCATGTAAGCTTAAAAATAAATTATATAAAATTGCAAGTATATTATTGAGATTGATCATAAAGAGCTAGTGATGGGGACATCGACAGGAGATTCCGGCGCGTTTATCAGAGACGACACCGGAGATCGACGGCCATGATGGAGAGCCTTTACTACTGATGACTGTTTGTATCTGCATTTTATATATTACGTATTTATTTTCAGTTTTTCCCATTTTACCCTTGTGGGTATTTGTTTGCTTTTGTAGCCCAAGGGGCATATTAGACTTTTGTACTTGTTGTCATTTGGAGCCTATTTATATGGCTTTTGTATCTTGTATGAGGCTAATGAATTATTGAAGGAAAGTTTGTTTTTTGCGTTCTCTTTGTGAGTTCCGTCTTGTAGATCTCTTAGTGAGTTCTTTGTTGGAGATCTCTTAGTGAGTTCTCTAGGTAATTACGTGCAACATTCTTCTTCTCCACCATATTCTACCGCAAGCAAAATCCAATAGTTGGAAGAAGCCAAACCCCTCACTAGCATCGCCACCCTTGGAGCCCCTACCCTCCGGCCACCCTAGCTCCGCCGGCCGGCCACCTTGCCGCCGGCCTCTTCCCTCTCCACCACGTCCCCACACCTCCCTCCCCTAGTTCTCATTGGAATTTGAATTTTAAAAAACAAATTCTTTCCAAATTTGGAAATTCCATTTATGGAAATTTTTTGAATGAATTCAAATTTAAATTAAATCGATTTGGATTTATTTAAAGGTTTTCCTAGTCATCGTTCATATTTGGAAACCTCCTTTCCTTCTTTCCTTAACCCCCTCTCTCTTCCTCCATACCGCCGGCCCCTATATTGGGCTCCCCATTAATTATGCAATTAACTCCTTCAGCTTATTTGAAATCCAAATTGATTTCAAATATTTTTCCCTCCCAATTGCACTAAAACTGAAATCACTTTCAGTTTTAAACCCCTCCCCTCTCTCTCTACACCGTCGGCTCCCCCTTTTGCTCCACCCAATTAATTTTCCATTAATGCTTTAATTGCATTTTAATTGGAAATCACTTTTCAAACAATTTCCCTCTCAAATCCCTTAAACTGAAATTAATTTCAATTTTCTAAAATAAACCCCATCCCTCTCCCTCTCTCTACCGCCGGCCTCCCCTCCTCCTCTCCAAGCCGCCCCTCCTCCCCTTGGGTTTCTTGTGGTGATTGCTAGTCTTCAAGTCCATGATTTATGGCGGATCCCGCCGTTGATCACAGACTCTTCTACGACATCTACGGAGACATCCACGTCCTAAGATCTCCCTTCTTCGACGTTGGATTTGGCTTCGACAATACCGTCGAGGAGTATTTGGATGGGATCCTTCCAACACTAGTGGACGCCATTGACGAACAATTTTCAGATTACACGTGGATCATTAAAGGTCATCCTCCTGCGTCACCTCCACCTCTGAGTTCCTTTTCAACAACGAAGCTCCTTGGCTCCTCCCGCCTCGTGGCAACCTCATTCCTAGCATGGACGTTCTTTCGTCGCTCAACCTAGTTTCGTAGGAAAGAGAGAGAAAGGCATCAAGGTGAACAACTCCGTATTAATTGTTGGATTCAAGTTATTAGCTTTTAACTTTACGTTCTCCTTTGTATTTGCTTAAATTGTACGGTTAATTTCCATATAATTTCTTTGTCTAAGCAAGTGGAACACAAAGAATTTTCATAACCAACTTTGATTTGACGCATGCTTTAAAAAGGGTTAAACTTCTAGTAAATTTTCTTTCATAATCTCGTGTAACTCAACTTGCATCACATCAGCTAGAGGCTTAAAGACAAATTCTTGAGGAAAATGTATATACCCTCATAAGAGGATATAACACTTTTATGAACATAAATTTTCTGCTTCATATATTGCCTAATTAGATTTGAAAATAAAAATGTAAATGTGAAGGTTAATACAAAATATTTTGTTCAAACATCATTTATCTTTAAAAATATCTCTTTTTATTTAGGAGTTAGTATCCATAATCTTTGACGAACCAATTGATATTATAGTTTGTAAATCCAAAAAAATCAGACAATATAATACCTAATGCTTTCAAAGCTATTATTTGTTCAATGGTAACTCATGCTTTGTTCTTTTCCAAAATGTTTAAGATTAAATGAATTATAAACATAATTAATTCCAATATAATTCTATTCTTTTGACAAATTGTTCGTTAAACCAAGTAAAGGTTATACATTATAAGGCTAAAAGCTGCATAAAATGTCAGGCTAGGCTTCAAACGGAACTAATATATCAGCGTGGAAGACTAACGGATTAATTAGATAAAGGATTTAACATTTTAGAAATACAACAGCCAAAAAAGAGCCTAGCTAACCTCATCTGCACTATGAAACTCTGATAAGCTGATCCGTCTTTCATGCAAAACAAACTTCTCTTTTATCACAAGATCAATAACCTACAAAATTAAAGAAGCGATGTATCAGAGACGCACAAAATATCTCAAACAATGTGAAACTAAACTACGAACTAATTCAGCATCAACATTGCACGTGAGGCCATTTAAAAATGCAACAGTGCATCGTTTTTCCACCACCTGGACGTTAAACGAGGCATTGCCAACCGTGAACCAATCAGAAGTAATTGGGGAAGCTGAAGGCGATTAAAGCATTTTCTACTACTGAAGCCTTCCAACAAAGCAATATAACAGATAATTTCTCAAATCAACAGATTTCCTTTATTCGTGATAGTAATCATCGAATCAGCTCTAATTGAAACATTTAATCGACCATAGTTTAAAGCCTCAATAATAACGATCCTTGGTGTCAGAACTTTCCGAAACTAGGCAAAAGATTTTCCTTGACTTTGATAACCATCTAACAAGGCATAGGTTGATCATCTAAATTTATTGGCGGTACTAGTTGCCAGCTTAGGAATCCATAAGACTGCAAAGTTGGCCACCATTCTTAATCAAAGGAAACCATTGTGCCTCAAGGGGAGGGAATCTCTCACAAATTTTCAGTGAAATAAATACGTGGAAGCTATAAAGTATATTAATTTATTTCCAATGTAATTAATAGTATTTATGGATAAAAATTATCAATTGTAATATTGAATTTTATCACATTAATAAAGGGGAAAGACGCCAAAGAAATACACAAAATCAAATAATTTATTTTTTCTTTATGTTATCATGGATATAGGAACAAAGAAATATGATTTTATTATTATTAGTTGTAATTTTCCCTCGTTCTAAAATCATCTCTAATACTTGTTATCCACCCCCTAACCTTAGCCACTTGTGGCTATCTGCCTCCCACCTTTTGTCCTCCACAACCTATTGTCTGCCGCCTAAACTCCGCCCCCATAACCTCTAACTACCACCGCAAGACATCTATTCAACCAAGAGTAAATCCTTTTTTTTTCTTTGAAGGGAAATGTCTTCTACATCAGAAATTATTGACCAATCAAATTGTTATAAACGAGTACTAAAACCTTCAATCTTTATTCAAATTAAATTGAAGAAATTATCAAAGGGAAAGGGAAAGTTGGGCAAACTTACTAGCCTCATACCGAGTGAAAATCATTTGAGTTTCACCACATAGATGTAGAAGTGTAATAGCCGATTTAAAACCTGATCAGCTGCCAGCCCTAACTATAGCTGCTCGAATAGGCAAAGACGGAGCCACGTCTTAGCGGGCTGAACCGGGGCCAGGGAGTTCCAAATCACATTTTGAGCGAAAGTTTGAGTTCGGGAATGAAATCATATGACTCCTCACGAAGAATAACTCCATCCTATTCGCTCATTATCGCAAAGGAAACAAAAATCGAGAGAAGAGGCAGTGAATGAGAGAAAGAAGAAGGAAGATTTGTTTGTCATTTTTCTTTTCTTTTCCATATAAATTCTTCCTTGTTACTTCATCTAAACAACGAGGTATGTTTAATTAAAGGTAAAGAAAGAGATTGGAAAGAGGATGAAGAATAAATTTGAGAGAGGAAAGGGGAGGAGATTGGAAGAACATCACTAAGGTATTCTGATTTAATTTTCTTTAAAGTAAGAGTAAATTAATTCTTGAATCTTAGAGATTCATCGTTGATTCATATAAATCCTTGTGTAGGAAATTCTTTCAAAAATTGGGAATTTGAATGCAGTAAAGAGGAAGAGAAAGAATACCAGTTTTGATGTAGAACAATCATGGAAAAATGAGATGCTTAAAGACGTTTGCACGTTTAGATGTAGAGGCAATAATAAGCAAGATCTTATGCGGAATTGAAGGATAAATTAAATATTAAAGTGGTACCTAGCTTAGGTTATCTCACATGCATAGAAGTTAAGTTCAAAAGATAGACAGCTTAATCCAACATTGCATACATGGATAGTTCCAACAATAGATTCCAATCCTAACAATAAGATTAGTCTATGAAAGATCCCTCACACAACTCTTCTAATTACTAGGCTTTAGCGGAGACGCATTAATATGATCTTCATGAAGATAATAAATTCACATTCAAGGATGTAACTATGAAGATAGCAAATCGGATGTTGAGTTTACCCAAAGACAAGAGAGATACGCACTCCTGCAGGATGATTTGAGTGTTGGGGACGACTAGGACAGCCACCATGAGCTTCTTCGCCACGGAAAGGGGCCGCGGAGAGACCGGAGCACAAATTTTTGAAGCCCACACTCGCACTTGCACTCACACTCACACTCATCCAAACATCATATTTGTAGTGAGTCTTATCAATCAATTGATGTGCAAACCCAAAATATTTCACCTTTGAGCTATTTAGAGAATTCTCACAAAATAATATTTTCAAATCTGTTGATGAAAAATTCCCCATCAACCTAAATTCAATAGCCAACTTTATTGCCCTTTTAAATATTTCCTCCTCCCATAAAATCTTTCTTACTAAGATAAATAATATGAAGATTCCAAGCACTCTCCAAGAACTTGATAGTAAGAATGAAAAATTCATAACTAAAGATATCAGAGTCATATATGTCAATAGCGCGTATCCTGGCGCACAGCGCAATGCATGTATGACAATATTTGCTTGGCACGGTCAAGTGTTTAAAATGTGCACTATTTGCACCATACATGAGCAATAGTATATGGTGCATGATACAAATAGCGCACGCAATTTTGTTAATATGTTATAAATTTTAAATTATAAATAATATTTATATATTAATATCACAATTAATTATTAATGAATTAAATATAAATTTAATAAAATATAAAAAAATGTATTTTATCTTAATAAAATTTAGGGTTTGCTTTTCTCATCACAATTTCTTCGTTGCTGGTTCGTCTTTGCATGCATCATGCTTAGTAGAGTTTTGAAAGAACCGCTCTAGGAAGCATATTCACCTCCTATGACAACAGTAGAACACGCCACCGTGAGAGGGGAGGCACTCGCAGCAAAGGTATCAATCACTCTTTTGCTTTCGTGCTCTTTGCCTGAAGTAGAGTTTGAAGAGTCGCTAAAGGAAGCAAAGAGATGACAATGTTCATGTCAAGCCAGAAGTCCGCGGGGGTGGGGTGGGGGGGCCTCACAGCGAATGTAATGATCATTCTTCCCTTACATGTGCTTCTTCAACTAAATTGTGTTCAAGTAAAATGCAGAAGGAACAAAATATAACTTTTTGTAGGATTTAATGCTATCATTTTTATTATTTGGAAGGATTTTGTCAAAATTATACTTAAATATTGATCAAAACTAATGATGTAAGTTTCTATAGGTTTTAGTTGCTGTTTTTACTATTTGGCAGGATATTAATGTTTCTTACTCAAATCAATCTATTGTTTGCTATCTAATGGTATTTTATATTAATACATTTTTTATTTAAATTTATTTTATATTTCATGCAAGGTTTAAAATTGTGTCATGTCTCTAAGGGGAACTTTGCGAAATGATGTGCTATTCCTTGCTGACAACTATGATGAAAGCCTAAAAAAAGAACTAAACATGGGAGGGAGTACAATTGCCAAAAAGTAAAATAAAAAAAAGGATGTAGGTGGGTAAACACTATCAAGAACAATGCAAATAGGATACTTGAAAGCTATAAAACTAGGCTCGCGGAAAAAGGCTTTCCTTAGACTAATGAAGTGGATTATGAAAAAGCTTTGCACGGGTTGCTAATCTAAATGTTATTCAAATACTTCTACTCTAGGGGCCAACCTCAAATAGTCATCACAATAGTTGAATAAAAAAAATACATTCTTACATGGAGAATTAGAAGAAGCTTTTATAAAATCTCCACAGGGATATAATCAAGATTTTAGTACTAACCATTTATACAAATCGAAAAAAGCTTTATACAGGCTTAAACAATTCAGAAGAGCATAGTTTGAGAGATTTATCAAATCTATGGAAAAGATTAAATAAAAACAAAGACTCGAAAATTGCACTATTTGAAGGAAAAATTAAAGTTCTCATAGTATATATGAGTATCATTATCGTAGCAGAAGATTTCAAACGAAATAAGACTATTTAAAGATCAACTATCCAAAGAATTTGAAACCAAATACTTGAGAAGACTCAATTATTTTCATATAATTGAAGTGGCCCACTCAAAGGTTGACATATTTAACTCTTAAAAAAAATGCATCCTCAATCTAATATCTATAACAAGTACGATAGGATGCAAGTCCTAAGAAGTTTTAAAAATGAATACAGCCACAAACATGGTGGTAGGGAATAGCTTAAAAGTTGACAAAATGAGGTATTAAATATTGATCAGACGCTTATCCACCTTGCCCATACAAGACTAAATATGGCATATGACTGAAGCGTTCCAAGTCAACTTACGCATAATCTTAGATAAGGCATCATACAAAACTCTTCAATACCTCAGAGCAACACCATGAAAAGGAATCTTATTTAAAAGAAATAAAAGGCTCAGTTCAAAAGCATACACTAACGTTAATTGGGTAGGATGCCTTACATAGAAGGCCTACTACTAATTGCTGCATTTTCCTATGTGGATTTCTAATCAATTAAAAAAAACAAGAAGCAATAAGTGAATGCCAAGTCTAACATCGAAGCTAAATTATGGGCAATGATCTAAAGGATTTGTGAATTACTACAACAACATCAAGCCTTTATCCTACTACGTTGGGTCGGCTACATGAATCCTTTTTCTCCATTGTGTCTTATTAAGTATCAAATTCTCATTTAGATCTAATAAAGAAATGACATTTCTAATATTTTCTAGCCAAGTCTTTGTAGGTCTATCTCCACCCTTCTTAATATAGGTCAAATCTAATACATCTACTCTCCTAACCGGGTCATTGGAAGGCCGTCGTTTTATGTGACTAAACAATCTAAGATGACCCTCTCTAATCTTATCATTCACTGGAGCTACTCCAACCTTTTCACATATATGCTCGTTTCGTATCCTATCTCTAAGAGTAAAGCCACTCATCCACCTGAGCATCCTCATCTCTGCAATACTTAACTTAATATTATGCTTCTCTTTTAATGGCCAACATTCTGCGCCATAAAGTATTGTAGTTCTAACCACCATCTTACAGAATTTTCCCTTAAATTTGTGTGGTACTTTTCTATCACACAACATGTGAAAACCCGAAAAAATGCCGTTTTAGACCTCGCACGCTTTTCAAAGCGCCCGACGTATTCAAGATGAGTTAGAATAAAATGAGAATATACTATGAAGTTATACTGAGATAACATATCAACCATCAAAATTAACATGACCAAATCAAATATATAGAAATCAATCTGACATTATATCAAAGAAAAATTAAAGAGAACTAATATATATCTCATATTTCCAAAGAGACGAGCAATTGGTAGACATTCTAAACAAAGGATTACCAAGCTCTACATTTAAAAATATCACCTCCAAGTTAGGTATGGAAAAAAAATCTGCTTTGCAACTAGAGGAGTATTGGCAGTGTCAGGGGCCAACTTAGCAATCAGACAGGACTGCAAAGCTAACCGCCCATCTAGCCATCCATCGATTGCGAATTGTGGGATTTAAGGAGAGACATAATCCCTCTCAGAGTTTTAAAAAAACAAATGTGAGCACGGTGTAGAATAAATTTCTTTATTTATAATGTAATTAGTAGTTTTCATGAGTTGAACAAATCAATTGAAATCAAGAATCCTACGCATAATTAAAGGAGCAAGACCCCCAATGAAATACACATAAATTCAAATCATTTCTCCTCTCTTCAAAATTCATGTCAGCAAATTATATTGGGGACATTGAAAGGAATCCGTCTCTATAAGGAGCTCAAAGTTTAAGCATATAGTCGGATTTACCTGTATTGGTGTCAATTTTGTTCTTAGAAGAGCCTAAGAGAAATAAATAAATAAATATAAAGATACATACAGTTGCTCGAGTTATTCCAGGAAGGCAATAATCAGCATGCGGTGTTGATACAATTCCTTTCTTAACCATGAACTGCAAAGACATATGACTTGAGATGTTAATCAGATTTTGAAGGTCTGATGGTTCCTCACAAGAAACTTATATCATAGTGCCTCACAATGTTTGTAGCATTAGTTTCAGACACGAAGCCATCTTTATCAAGCATGATTGCATCATCTGCCTGAGCAAGGTTACCTTCAACCTGCAGTTTCATATGATCTAGGTATAACACAAAGAAAAATAAGCGAAATAAATTGAAGTTCTACAAAAATATATGGGCACTAAAGACAACCTTCGCCAATATATTGTTGATGAGATTGTTATGGTGGATTTTTGAATCTATACTCTGCAATATTGTAATAAAAAAAAATAAATGAATAAAGTCAAATAGGACGTTAAAATTTTTTTGAAGACTTTAAATGAAAGATTACATCAAGGTGAAATGTAATTCTTGCATGGATATGAACAGAGACGATGCCAGCTCACACAAGCACTATTAAAGCAAATTAATATGTTGTTAGTTGGTATTGCAAGAAAGAGATACAAACGTGGGAGTAGCAGCAAACCACATGAGATCCTTATCCCCTTTACTACCTTTTAATTATTTTTGAGTAGGGAATGTGTAGCTTCAAAGAATTCACATCTAAATCAAGAGAAGGGATATCAAGAGGACCGCCCAACAGGGATAGGCATTGCCCCGGTTGATGAGGTATGTTTTTGGTCTTCGTAGCAAGGCTTTCACCCAAAGCTATTAATAAGTTTACTAGCTCTTTGATAGTTAGCAAGTGAAAGTGTGATCAAATAAGCTACTAACGCTGATTTGAAGGTTAAATAACTTAATCCAGTAATTTAAGTTAGCCTACCAACTCAGTCAACATTGTCCTATGTTGTCTCCTAATTAAACTTATTTGCCTAATCCTTAATTCCTCTCTGCTGCATAACCAACAAACCAGCCTGTTCCTATCCATCTCGCTTCCCCAATCCTGTTACTCATCCCATGGAAATCACCCTCTCCCTCAATCATTAAAGCGACCTCTATCAGCTATTGAAGGTCATCCATAGCACTTTCTTTGAATGCTATTATGTTTTATTTTCATGAAAATTGTATCCTCTATTTTTAAGCAATTTTATTTAATTTCAAGAATTTTATTTTAACTTTCCACTTTTTATGTTTAAGTATTTCTTTATTTGGAAATATTAAACCAATGTTTTGATGCGATCAAAAAATATAGGGGACCATATATTTTTTTATCACGAAAGAGAAGACGGACTTCTACGGACGAAATTGACTAAGGACTTCTACGGATGAAATTGACTAAGGACTTCTACGGAAGAAATTGACTAAGGACGAGAAAAGGGACGAACAAACTCTTACATTTCAAATTTGACATAAATAAAAACTTACAAACTAGACTCCAAATAAAATGACGACACCCTAAAGTTGCTGCACTTGGAGAAGAAGGATACAGATGGAGTGGCACTTACGGAGAGACGAAAGAGGTTAGAAGCCCGAGAAGAAAGGTTGGAAAGAGCCCGCAGGATTTCCGGAGGGGATGAGAAAGAAGGGTGGAAAGAGCCCGCAGGATTTCCAAAGCAAACCCGCAGGTTAAAGCTTCCAAAAATAACTTATCATTCAACTATCTTTCAAACATAAACAATCCCCCATATATATAGGTATGAAAGGGAATACAAAGAGACACCTAATAAATTCCCATAGGAATTCTAAACATCACAGTTAATTAAAACACTAATGCTTTGCATGAAAAAACATCCCAAGCCAAGGAACCAAAGAGGCAACCGCGGGAGCCAAGGAGGCCGCACGGATCCAAGGAGTCACGGTCACGGAAAGGAGCCCAAGCACGGAAATCCAACAGCCGGCCGGAATCCTAAGGGGCAAAAGCACAAAATACTAAAGGCCATGGTGGAATTCAAGGAGCCACCATGAAAAAAAGCAAATCTTGGAATTCCAAAAGCAGGTTTGGAATTCCAAGAGACCTACATAATTAAAAACATAAAAAGCATAAAAAAGTACATTAATTAAAGATAATAAATGAACTAAAATGTTAGCTAATAATGAGCTAACCCTTAGTTCAATAAATGAACTAAAGACCAGCTCATAAATGAGCTAAAAATTCAGCTCAATTTTATTTGAGCTAGTAGACTCAAGGGAAGCCAAAATTCATATTATTTTGGACATGGGTTGACCCCCCTTTGCCTACATCATGTTTTGAGGGCATATGCCCACCCTAAGGTAAAATGGCATGACCAATGCATTTTCCTTTCAAAAATTTGTATTGGAAGTGGTAATTGACAAACTGAGTTGTCAAACATTGGATTTGATGTTCAGGACGACAAATGGTATTAGTGAAGCTTCAAATTGATAAAAAATAGAGACTATACTAGCTTCCTTGAACCATAAGAAGGGAGCTAAATAAACACCTACAGTTGTATTGAGAACGTAGTTTTAGATATTGGTTCTAAATATGTGCGTCACACATTTTGATTGATCATGAAAAGGTTATGATCAGTAGTACAAGAATTGATTTGATGGAAATTAAGAAAAAAAGCTTGGCATTAAAGACATATTTAAGTTAGTAAAGTTATATATGATGAAGCAACAAATATTAGTAGTTATTGAGTAAACAAAGAGTTCCCAATTATAGCAAAATTATATTAAAAAACAGCATTAAACCAGCATCTTTGGTATTATTATGAAGATACCTACAAACGATATTCAAAGTGATGATATGATACAAGTTGGAATTCATGGATAAAATTCTCTGGTGGAACCACCAAGCAAGTTCGGGTTTGAAGAATTTGGTTTTCTGTGCAAGAAGAGCTATTGGTCTGTGATAGGAAATACTTGGTTTCAAGTAATTCCTAGCCAAAACTGAAATAGAACAAGGAGAAAAACTGCTGTTTTCAGCAGCGAACAGCAGTTTTACACAAGAAAACAGTGCGAGATCACGGGAAAACTGAAAGCAAACGCAAGCAAAGGCTTGTATTTTACTAGTAGACGAATAAAATAGCAAAGATACAATTTGTTATTCAATCCGAGAGGAAGAACAACTCTCCAATCTCCGGCAAAGCCAAGAGCCCAAAGCAAGAAACCCTAGATCTCAAATTCTCATTCAAATTCAAGATAACCCTCTCCCTCCTATTCCCCTAATTATCATTAAAGGAGGATTACAATTTACCTAATTACCCTTTTCATTCAAATTTTCCCCCCAAATTATTGCATTAAGCCCATGATGGGGCCCACATGAGTCCCCCCCCCCCCCCCTCCTGCTTCTTCATGATCTGTTGGGCCCTCATCAGATGCTTCTTTAATTCTTCCAGCACCTTGTCCCTTTCCTCCAGGTACTGCTCAACTGAAGAGACCGGTGTACTTCCTTTCCCATAGTGCACTAAGTGTGGGGGATCTCTTCCATAAAGCACTCTAAAAGAGGTCATCTGAGAGGCAGAATGGTGCGTCGTATTGTACCAATATTCAGCCCAAGGCAGCCACTTTGCCCACATCTGCAGAGTCTCCGACACAAAACACCTCAAGTAAGTCTCCACACTTCGGTTCACCACTTCCGTCTGCCCGTATGTCTGCGGATGGTAGGAGGTGCTTCTCTTGAGGATAGTGCCCTGCAATCGGAACAACTCCTTCCAAAATTGACTAAGGAATACCTTGTCTCGATCCGTCACTATCAATTCTGGAACCCCATGCAGTCTAACAACCTCCCTGATAAATATTGCTGCCACTGTCACTGCGGTGTAGGGATGTCGTAAGAGGATGAAGTGTGCATATTTACTAAGTCTGTCCACCACCACCATGATGACAGTGTATCCTTCAGACTGTGGTAATCCGTCAATGAAGTCCATGGACACTTCCTCCCAAACTTTGTTTGGAAGTGTCAATGGTTGTAACAGCCCTCCTGGCGTCATGGCCATGTATTTGTTCCTCTGGCACACTTCACACCTCGCCACCAGCTCCTCCACATCTTTATGCATCCCTTTCCAATAGAGTTCTGCTGCTAGCCTCTTGTATGTCTTCTGAACTCCTGAGTGGCCTCCCATCGCGCTACCGTGGAACTTCTGCAACAAGTTGGGGATGTGAATGGAGGTTCGTGGCATGACAAACCTCCCCTGATACAATAGTCTCTCCCCCTCAAGGCAGTATCCCGGATGGCTACTCTTATCCTTCCTTAGATCCTCCCTGATCTTTCCCAATTTCTCATTTAACATGCTTTCTTCCTTGATGGCTCCCCAGTCGACCATCAAGGGTACAAACAGAGCTAACTCCTGGAGTTCCCCCACACATCTGGATAGAGCGTCGGCTGCATTGTTCTCCAAACCAGACTTATACTGGATCTCAAAATCATAGCCTAGTAGTTTGGATAACCACCTCTGATGCTCTTCAGTCACCATCCTTTGTTCTAGCAAATACTTCAAGCTCCTCTGATCAGTCCGCACGATGAAGTGGCTTCCCAAGAGATACGGCCGCCATTTTTGAATAGCCAAGACGATGGCCATCAGTTATCTTTCATACACTGACTTCAATCTAGCCCTGGCTGAAAGCACTTGACTGAAGTATGCCACTGGCCTGTGATTCTGCATCAACGCTGCACCTAGCCCATATCCTGATGCATCCGTCTCTACTACAAAGACCTGACCAACGTCTGGAAGGGCTAGAACAGGAACCGTCGTCATGGCTTCTTTTAACCTCTCGAACGCCTGGGTGGCTGCCTCTCCCCAGCAAAAATTGTCTTTCTTTAGCTGCTTAGTCAGGGGCCATGGAATGGTACCGTACCCCTTTACAAACTTCCTGTAATATCCCGTCAATCCTAGGAATCCCCTCAACTCTCTGAGGTTCCTAGGTAGTGGCCATTTCTGCATTGCCTCAATTTTAGTTTGATCCGCTGCCACTCCCTCTTGGGAAATCACATGTCTCAAGTACTCCACACTCGCTTGAGCAAAACTGCACTTCTTCAAGTTGACTTTCAACTGATGCTCCTGAAGCACTTCCACTACCACCCTCAAATGTTCCAAGTGCTCCTCCACAGTCCTGTTGTACACCAGGATGTCATCGAAAAAGATCAGGACAAACTTCCTGAGGTGCTGCTTGAATACCCGATTCATCAAGGATTGAAAGGTTGCAGGAGCGTTAGTCAACCCAAAGGGCATTACCAGGAATTCATAATGCCCTTCATGTGTCCTGAACGCTGTCTTTGGAACATCAGCCTCCCTCATTCTGATCTGGAGGTATCTGGATTTTAAATCCAGCTTAGAGAACATCACTGCACCATGTAGCTCATCTAACAGCTCATCAATCACAGGGATTGGGAACTTTTCTGGTACAGTGCCCTTATTCAGAGCCCTGTAATCTACACAAAATCTCCAACTCCCATCCTTCTTCTTGACCAGAAGGACAGGACTAGAAAAAGGGCTGTTGCTGGGTCTGATAATCTCCGCCTCCAGCATTTCCCGGATCAGGTTTTCAATCTCATCTTTCTGGATCTGTGGATAGCGGTAAGGACGGACACTGATCAGGGTCTCACCTTCTTTCAAATTAATGGCATGCTCCAACTCTCTCTGAGGAGGTAAACCCTGGGGCGGGTGAAATACCCCGCTGAACTGGTGTATGAGCGGCTGTACTGCAGAGGGAACATTGCCTTCCTCCTCCAATCTGACCCTTTCCAGGCGGTGCAACTCTACTAAGTAGCCTCCCCCCTCTTCCTGAATGGTTCTAATGAGGGATTTGAGAGAAACCCCTGCCTTAGTCAGTCCGGAATCACCCTGAATCGTCCTCTTTCTGCCCCCAACCACCAACTCGATCCTCAGTGTACCCCAATTGATTTTGGTTTCCCCCAAGGTCTGCAGCCACTTCATCCCAAGGATGACATCCGTACTCCCCAATTCCAAGGGAAGGAAGTCTTCCTTTACATGGATCCCTTGGATCTTCAGTACTACTCCTCGACAGACTCCTCGACCCATCTCCACCTTCCCGGATCCCATCATTACCCCGTAACCTCCGGTATCCACTAGCTCCATCCCCAATACATCCACAATCTGGGTGGAAATGAAATTGTGTGTTGCTCCACTGTCTATCAACACCACAACCTCACGATTAGAGATCTCTCCTTTCACCTTCATAGTGTGGCTCGAAGTGAGTCCCACTACTGAGTTCAGAGAGACTTCTACTACGTCCAGATGCAACTTCTCCTCCTCCACCTCAGGGTCATTCCCACCTCCCTCTTCGTCTTCCTCATCTTCACAAACGAGGAGAAACTGAAGAGATCGGTCTTTGCACCTATGCCCCGGCATGTACTTCTCATCACACCTGAAGCACCCCCCTTTTGCTCTTTTCTCCTGCAGTTCCTTCTCAGTCAGCTTTTTGAAATGTCCACTGTTACCTCCTCCTCCCATCTTCTCCTTGGGTGCTTCCTTTATGCTCCCAGGGCTGACTTCGATATATGATCCAGCCTACTAGCCAGATACCCAAACCTCTCCTGGTAATCTGCCACTGTGCCTTCCTGGATAAGGGCAAAGAATTGCTCATAAAAGTCTCCTTGCCCATCGGTTCGGAAACGCTCTAGTAAGCATTCTTTAAACTCTCGCCAGCTCCGGATAGGCTCCCGTCTGTCACGCCATTGATACCAGGCTAAGGCTTTCCCCTCCAAGTACATCCCTGCCGCTGTTAATTTCTCTTCTTCCGTCAACCCATTGACGGCAAAATATCGCTCCACCTTGTATATCCATCTATGGCCATCTTCCCCCTCGAAAACGGGCATCTTCAATTTTCTCACCTTGGGATCTCCCCGGTATCCTCCATAGCCTCTCATTCCTCTCAGAGGAGGCGCTCCCCAATTGTCCCGATCGTCCCTCCGACGAATATACTCGAACCCCTCTTCATACTCTCCTCCCCTTCCTTCAACATCATCACCTCGCACTGAATACCTTCAAATTCAGCACCTCGACGATGACGTTCCTCCCTTCTTCCTTCAAAATCTCCCCCTCGACGCTGAATTCTTTCGAATTCAGCACCTCGGCGATGAGATCCCTCTCTCCTCCCACCAAAATCAGCCCCCCTTCTGTCATATCCCATGCTCATCTCTTCCCTCGACAGAGGCTCTAGAGGAGGCATGTCGTTCTCTTCCTCTAGGATCTTTACCTCCGAATTTCTCCTCCCCCGCAAGGGGTTTGGATTTCCTCCCATGCCATGGCCGTCGGTGGTCTCTCTTACTTCCGATATCACCGGATTGGTTTTCATCTCAAGCAGTTTCTTCATCATTGCCTCCATTGTAGTGAACTTCCCCTCCAACCTTTCATTGTTGGAGATGATTTGGTTTTGAAAGTTGAAGAATCTTTCCTCCAAATCGGCTTTCAATTGGCCGACTTCGCCTTCCAAGACGTCAACCTTCTTTCCGGCCATCGTTCTTCCCAACGGATCTAAAAAAATATCACTTCCGGAAGCCAAAAGCTAGCTGAAAAAAAGATTTCAGCCGCCTAAGGTCCCAAAAATGATGCTCTGATACCAATTTGATAGGAAATACTTAGTTTCAAGTAATTCCTAGCCAAAACTGAAATAGAACAAGGAGAAAAACTGCTGTTTTCAGCAGTGAACAGCAGTTTTACACAAGAAAACAGTGCGAGATCACGGGAAAACTGAAAGCAAAGGCTTGTATTTTACTAGTAGACGAATAAAATAGCAAAGATACAATTTGTTCTTCAATACGAGAGGAAGAACAACTCTCCAATCTCGGACTACGCCAAGAGCCCAAAGCAAGAAACCCTAGATCTCAAATTCTCATTCAAATTCAAGATAACCCTCTCTCCCTCCTTTTCCCCCTAATTATCATTAAAGGAGGATTACAATTTACCTAATTACCCTTTTCATTCAAAATTTCCCCCCAAATTATTGCATTAAGCCCATGATGGGCCCACATGAGTCCCCCCCCCTGCTGTGTTTGCCGCCTGGAGTAAACCAGGACCGGTCCAGCCTGCCCAGGAGGGGCCAGCGGCATATCAGTCTGCAGTTAGGTTTTCCAATTAGCTCTCACCCTCAATTGATGGATTACACTTTTAAGTCCTAGCCAAAAACACAATTTGTAACATTTTTTTGTGCTAGCACGTTTATCTCGTCCATCGCTTGTTACTACATATTCCTGTATGGAATTGGAAGAAGCCAAGAAAGAGATACACTTAAAAAAAAAGGTAGAAGAGTTGGCAATAAAGTTACACTAGTTTTATGTTGGCAATAAAGTAAGAACAGTTTTGTAAAAATGCTGAAATGCATCCAAGGGAGAGGGCTTAGTAATTTTTGTCAAAAGTGGAAAAAGAGCATAAGAGGTATTAGTTCAAAAACAATTTACTATAATCGCACATTCTGCAAGAGAATGGAGTTCTGAAGACTTTAAATCAACAAAGCTTTTCTTCATTAAAAAAAGAATTACAAACTCTAACCCATGCCTAAAGCCTATGGCTGACCTCCACATATATAATGAAGGCAATGGTTATGAGTATATGAAAAGACAAGCTTCAATAAAGATAGATGATCCTTCAATAAAAATGCATGAATATATTAACGAGAAGACACAGATTTAATATTAAAACATGCATGAATGTAATTTTTTATAAAGGGGAAATGAGAATGTCAAGGTTATCATATGACAAAAGACATTTCAAAACTAGATTGTTATAGATCTTCAGACCATGCATCTCTTTTTGAGAAGAAAATTCACTTCAAATAATTCATTTAATGAAGAGATGGGGAAAGAACTTCTTATGCTCTTGATTGTAACATTTGGAGGCATAAGATTTTTCCCCTTTATGCCGATGTTGTATGCTGCCTTTACATCCTCGCGAGTGATTTAAGTCTTCTTCTATGGTATCACGTCTTCTTTCAATACTTTCTCTTATCCTAACTTTAAGACAACAAGTGGAGAGAAACTAATTTTGGTTCATCATCTAGCAAAGATGACTTGAATGACGTATGGTTCTCCAAATGTACCAAGAAGCAGATCACATGCAAGCAAGAAGGTTCAATTAATATGCATTATAATATATCTTTTTTATTATATGGGATGGACAATACCACATTGATTTCAGTTTGTGCCCCTCTCATTAGAGGTACTCGTTGCCGACATGGAGCGAATGAGATCCCCTCTTCATATTTCCCGTTAATTCAAGGACAATTATGAGAACTCTTGTAGCTTGCAATATTTACACAGTTACTTATCTACCTCATGCATTTGTCAAATTCCCTTGAGAAATCATCGAGTTTTCTAGGACCAATGCCTTCTTGAGAAATTGTAAATGTTGATTCAATGATGAACTACATTCTAAACAGTCTTCCAAGAAAATAACCCAAGCATTCTTTGAATGGAGCTCGATTGGTGAATGCATGCATAGAATAATTGAAAAAAAACTGGATATATAACAGGCTCTCATCCCATATATTTGGATAGTATGAGGTGAAGCTCTCAAAAGATGCACCATAGCAATTGACAACATTGGTTTGGCCATTGAATTGTGGATGGAAGACAATATTTCTCTTTAAAATGGTGTCCATTATGGCCCAAAAAGACTACCAAAAGCTGGTTAAGAAGTGAAAGTCATATTTGGAGATTAAAGATTTTGGGAGCTGGCCCAAACTCTGTGAAAGAATCAAATTTCCACATCCTTATTAGTGATTGTTTGCAAATTGTGAGGATGATCCTGTTGGAAAATATTTCCACCACAGCAAACACATAGTTATGACCCTTATGAGTTGTTGGTTAACCTCCAAGGAAATTCAAGAAAATGCTGTCCAAGGTTGAGCTGGACCTAGCAAAGGGTTGAGAGTCCTTGTTTCCGATTAGAGGACTTTGAAGTATGATTGAGAATACAACCTCAGATGAATCTGGCCACATTAAAGTGCATATGAAGTCAATACACATAGTGCTACCAGTTTAGAAGTGTTTTTTTTTAAATACCAAAAATGCACAACCCCCTTAAATGTATGTGCCTACCTTATCCACTTCAAGTTGTAATCATCTTTGGGAATATTAAGTTGTGCTCTATTAAAAAGTAGTGTTTCTTTGTTAGTGAACCCTTTATGCCTCTACTAAAACATGTTTGAAGTCAATATCATTTTTTATTAAAATAACATATTCCACATGAAAGGTTATTTGGACTCTCATGATGAAGGAAAGCATGATTGATGGTTAGGAAAGCATATCCATCTGTTTTATTGTGATGCATTTCTTGTATTTGATGATGAATAAAATAATTACAAGCCACCCAATTCACATGAAAGGCTAGTCAAAGCTTCTATTGCGTCTAGAGGTGTTGGCATCACTTTCATGTGATTCCGTTTTACTGCCAAATGCTTTGGCTTGCCAAGTCTAGGCAACATATACACCTAGTCAAGACAAGTATGACCCAAACTACATCATGTTTCAACTTTGCTTATAGCTCAAGTATCATAAAACCATGGTTAAGCTAAATCTTTGTCGCTCATTTGTCTAGCTACATTGGGCAAGATACCAAATATATCCAGCTGAATTGGAAATATGGCATCATAACCATAATCCCTAGCTTGATTAACCCTACCACAAATAAATATTATTAGTGTTAATTAAAGCAATTATCACTGGTATCATATATACCAAGATGATCTTTTTAAAGCTTGGAATCTATCCTTATTTTACCTTGACTTGGTTCAAGGTTCACTCAACTCTAGAACAGATTCAAAAGCTCTATCTAGCTAACCTATTGAGCAATATAAGGCTTGCCTTCGATCAATCAAGAACATTATAGATCGATTTATTCCATGACAATTCACTGAGGTTCTCTTTAGTTTACTTCTTCAGGCCGACAAGCCCTTACCAGATTTAAATACTAGGCTAACTACAACCCAACCTAAGTTTAAACATGGACACAAAAGACAAACTTAAGTGGGAATGCCTCATAGGATCCAAAATCATCCTATGGACCCCTTAGGTTAACCAAAATTTGACATATGACTTAAGCCTTAGTTAGGTTCATTCAAATCTAACCTAAGTCTTGGATAGGTGAATTGGTGAAACCAAAGCTTAGGATTTCATCTAAGTTATCCAACTAAACTCTAATGGGGTTTACAAACATATTGGGTTGGCTTTGAGTCATCCTAAACCCTAGATTTGACAAATGGCTAACCTAAACCCAAGCTACCCTATATTGAGCCAATGGTCCAATTAGGAGCCTAATCCACCTAAGTTTTTAAGGAATAAAAAACTAATTAACCTAGAATATCCAATGGACTAAACTAACATGCCCTTGAACCCCAGCCAACCAAAGCTTAATTAGACTTAACCAATAGACCCAACAAAAATCAGCCTAAAACTAACTAACCCACTACCACTAGCCAATTTAGTTCTAATAAGACAAATTACTTTTCTTTAAGAACATGATAGCTTCCCACCTGCTCTTGGCTTGCTGCTAATGTCACAATCGACCAAGATACCATCACTGACCACTGGGCTGGCTATGACAAGCTAAACCTAAGGAAATGGGTCAAGTAAGAAGGAGAAAGTAATAAGAAACCCAAGGCTCAATTGAGCTTACCATTCCCTAATTCCATCCCCTCTCATTTCATATGAAACTTCTCCTCCATTACCATCAAAAACATCAACTGCCAAATTAAGCTCATCAGAACTCCATTGATACACTGGTCTGGACAATCCCAAACCAAGCTGAGGCTTGCTAAAGATTCCTAAAGTCAAAGGAAATATGTTGGATCAAATTCGAGCTCTGAAACCACTAGGATAAGGTATAACGCTTAAAACCTAGGCCTGTTTAGTGTCATAATCATCAGCTACATGCAATACAACAAGCAAATTTAATTACACCCTGCGGCTAGCCTCACTTAGCTGAGCGATATAGATTTTCAAATTTCTATTATTTTTTCAAATTGGCATTAGGGTCGTTGGAGCTTAGAGATGAACTATGGATTGTTTGATCTTGATCTAAAGACCACAGTTAAACATAAGTTTGATATTTTAAGTGCATTGTTAACTCAATCATTCATCATCCAACCAGAGTATTGACCTATGTATATGTTCAACACTATATTCAAACAAATGCGATGAGAATAACGATTAATTGATGCAATGTCACAAGTAGCAAGTTCAAAATACCTTGACCATGATCGAAACAACTCAAATGTCGCCCATTTGAAAAATGGATTACCTTGGCATGTTAGGAACACTAAAATTATCAAAACAAATGGCCTTTAACCGCCAGCAACCACTCTGAGATCCCCTCTTTCTTCATTAACAACCTTATCTCTCCCTCGATACACACAACCTACCTCGACCCCTCTCAACCCAAGCCATCGTTGGCGAACAACCCTGCCTTTTCAAACCTCATTCTCATCCTCTCTAGCCTTGCTACAACCCAACCTCAACACCCTAGTTCCTCCTTAGTAGACACCTCAAAACAACTCCAAGAAATCGGTGACGACATCTCCCATCCTCCTCTCCCTCTATTTGACTACAAGCTGTCAAGCAAGCTCCCTTCCCAAACCATCTCCTCCAACCACCCCAAGCCAAGGCCAACTACTCACTTCTCTCTACCGTTTACTCTCTCCTCTCCTCTATATCTTTCTCCTCACTCTCTCTTCGTCTTTCTCTCTCTATATATATATTTTCATATAAGGAAAAGAATCGGATGCTAGCTGGAGGAAGGAGAAGGAATCTAGGGCTTGAGAGGTAAAGTCTGCTTTTTCGTAATTTTCTTTGTTGAATTGACTGTGAATAAGAGTTAAGAAGCTTGATATTTATATGAAAAACGATTATTTTGAGGATAAATTGAAATTTAACTATTTCAAGAATTATAATTCAATTTTTACGTGAAAAATCTATTATTTACGTAGTGTTCAAATGAAAGAGGCATCAGGATGTTGATGGCGGGACAATTTATCTGGGAATTGATCATCAATCTCAATTAAGTAAGATATGCAAATTTAATTTTAAAAATTAAATTGATAACAAGTTAATTTCAGTAACTATCTTTTATGAAAATTCGATCACTACTAGCCATTTTTTTTAAATCTGAATATCTTCTATTAAGTTTATTTTGCTTAATTTTAAAAATACATATATAAAATTATAAGATAAAAATGAGATGTATACACTGAGATATTTGAATAATTAAATTTAATAAAAGGTGTTTAAAAAACAATCATATATATGGATGGACTAGTCATATGACAAATGTACATATAGGATGAGGCGAGCCTCCTGAGAGGACAAAGGGTCCTCCGGTTAACATTTGTATGTTAAATTCACAAGTAGAGCAACAAAGGTGGGCCCATAGGGAGGCTAAAGGGTCTTAGGCACATAGATTTCGAGTTTATAGTAGCTAAATGAACCACTTCCATATGCATGATACATTTTAAAGCTCACATAAGAACTTTATAAGATATATGTACTTAATAAAAGAAGTTCATAGATGATTAGCTAATAGTTTTATGAAATATGATCAATGTCTAAAATTTTAATGTTTTCTCTAAAATTTATTTCAAATTAAATATTTTGATCATGAAGGATATCAAATGTTAATTCAGGTATTCCATGTACAAGGACTTAATGTAAAATATAAGACTACCATACAAATATAAAGTAAAATTTCATTATAATTACTTTCGATTTTTAAATTATTCATCTTGTTGAATTTTCCTTATACCATTTTATGTTAAACATTATTTCAGGTAAAGGAAAAGGACAAGGTAGAACCCAAATAAGAATAAAGTTTTGATATTTTGAGTGTACAATTTTGTTGTATGATAGAGTTTTTGCACGTATGATTATTATGATTTATATAATTTTTTTATTGATGATATATTAAGAATCCTAAATTATTTTAGCAGCTCTATAGATAAATGGATGATTATTATTTGCAATTGCTTCTGTTCTAGGAATGGTCAACATTTTAAATTTTATACAAGTTAGAAGTTATAATGTGTAATGAGTTAGTAGTATGTTTTTATGTTTGCTTCGTATCAACCTAAAGCGGTCATAAGGTGTGAGAGAAGGTCTCCACTTTCTTCTTGTTATCATTCTCCTTAAACTTCTTTGGAAAGAGCACTAGAGGTTGGACCAAGGAGTGGACCTTATTGTCTTTTTTTAAAGACTAAATATTGTTCTTCTTATGGAGCCTCACTCTTAAGTTAGAAGGCTTTTCCCCTTGAGCCTTATCCTTCCTTATAATGGTCAATACAAAGCCAATTAATTGGATGATATCTTGGATAACGAAGATGGGCTTTATTTGAGGAATAGAAGAGAGATGCTAATAGAAATAGCTAGTCTCCTAAAAAAATTGGCATAATCATTCCACTCTCTCGAATGGTCTTCTTCATACCCACCGATAAGATAGAGCACTTGCTAATTGTTAGATTGGTCCAAGAAGGACCGATCTAGCCTGGCCAAAACCAGGGTCAACCCCTAGTTTATTCCAAGCGAACCACACAACCGCTGGCCCCCCTTGTGGAGCCCCATTATTTGAATGCAAAATTAATGAGGGGCAATTTAGGGGGGAATTAAAATTGGGAGGGGCTGATTAGTAATTAATATTATTTGTAATCTCTAAATAGATGGAGCGGGTTAGGGTTAGGGTTTATGTTTTTTTTTTTTTAATTTGGTTTTCTCTTAGGTTTGTTTGAGCCTAGCCGTCGGCTAGAGATTGGGAGAGCTGGATCTTCCTCTCAAATTGAAGATCCATTGTATCTTGTTTGTTTTCTTCCATCTTTCATCAATTATTAAGTTTCCCTAGAGTTTTGCCACCAAATTTCTCTCAATAAATGGAATTACAAATTCCAACTCATGCCTATACCTATGGAAACCTCTCCCCGTATCGAAACAAAGGAGCATAACAGTTGTAAATAGAGGGTAGCTACAACTAGCAGATAAAGGACTGGAATACATAGATCAAATTTCGCTTATTATAGATCATTGTTAAGTGAGCTGCCTTGGTTCATACTTTTTGTAAATAACTTAGTTCTAATCAATGATGCATTTGCTAAAATAAATGAAAAATTAAAATAATAAAGAAATGTTTAGAAGATAAAAGAAAAGGTTTTGTAGAATATAGACTATATATTATACATAATTTTAGAGGATGTCATATTACTAATTATAAAAAATTATTACTAAAAAACAAATTGACACATAGTGTGATTAGTTTGACAATTGTATATTTAGTATAAAAAGCTTGCTAATCAACATAGAGACTTAAACATAAATTTTATAAAATCACAATTAAGTTAGCTATGTTATTAAATTTGACAGTTTACTCAATAAAGAAACATTGATGGTAATTTTAAGCATGAAAAAAAAAAAGAATGCAAGACAAAATGAAAAAAGTTAAATTATAAAATGATTATATTAGAAAGTTAGATGGAGTAGCATCTATTAATGAAAATTTTGAACTTAAGTGATTAAAATATATAAAACAAAAGGTGCAAGGGTCTGTTTGGGATTTTTTATAATTTTTCTTTTTAGATGGCAACCACGGACTTGTTTTGATAAAATTTTCTTGCTACTTATCAAAAAAATTTACAGTCAAACATATTTTTTTATAATCAAATATGGTAGTGTGCTATGTGCAAGAAAGAAGATGTTTGACTTTTTCAAAATGGCGAAGTTTATAATAATCATACTAGCTTTTAAAAATCTATTTTTGCTAAAACTTACAAAAAAGCTACCTCCATAACAACCACAAAAACAATAACAAGTCTTTATACCACTACGTGGGTTAGTTTGCATAAATCTTTTTTCCCATTGTGCCAAATTAAGAGTCAAATTCTCATGTAAATCTAATAAAAAAGTCATTTTCATAGCCACCATAAACAAATCTTAAATATAGCCATTATATGAGTAGATAACTTCAGTACCAAAGCATTAGAAAAAAAAAAGAGCCAAACAAATGTGACATTAATACAAGTTTTGTGAAAAATTGGCACATAATAGGTTCAAGATCTTGTACAACACACCACAAGAATTAATAAACAATGAGGATTCATAAAATTAGCCAAAAAAAGGTTGGGCTAGCAGTAATGATGATGATGATGATAAAAACGATGAGTTTGTCTCTAGATTTCATGTTTCATTTGCGAAACTTACTATAACAACAGAAGAGTAGAAAAGTTCAATCAAATTAAATTTGCTTAAATAGCTTAAGTTGCTGAAATATCAATCATCAATCCGGAACCAACAGCAAAATAGAAGTCCTAATTAAAGGAGTTAAAAGTAGAGTTGTCAGAAATGGAACTTACATTAGGTGAGTTGCGACGTGTAGTGGCAGTCACCAGAGTTATACCTTTCGAATTATCATAAACAGGCGGTTTCCATTCAGCAAGCACTACAGTGTCCACACAAAATTAAGCCTAATTATGCAGCCAAACCATATACACATTTATCATTGCTGGATTATGATATAATATGAGCAAAAATTCTGTTAAGTTGTCAATCCATCATTCTGATAGAGGTGAACTCAGTAGGGTTAACAAACAATCTTGCTCGAGTCTTTTGGAGGAACAAAAATTTAAGTGGATATAAATTTTAGAAAATATTCAGAAGGCTACGAAGAGATGATTGACTAAAGATAACCTATTAAAGTGCACCCATAGAGATTGAATCCTGGACTCATTCCAGAAGTAACCTGAAAGATATAGGTATGGGAAAAGTAAACAATATTTTAAATTGGGCAAATTCAATTGAAATATTTCATGCTAAAAAGAAGCTTCAGTAAAGTTAATAATAGAGCATAACAATATTTTAAATTGAGCAAATTCAATTGAAATATTGCATGCTAAAAAGAAGCTTCAGGAAAGTTAATAATAGAGCATTTTCATGGGATAAAATGAAGCCTTACAATAGGATGACAAAATTACCTTTTTACCCCGTGTTAGAGTGAGCCTGATGTGAGCATTGTCAAGCATGCCATTCAAATTGAGTGTCGTGAAAATAGCATCCTTGATCTAAAATATAAGTGAACCGGAAGTTTATTGAGGTTGAATTAGAGACATACTTCATTGAATACCATGAATCTAATCAAATTCAAATTTTAAGGACTTGGAATCCTTGATGGCATAATAAGAAATTACAATCAAAATCAAAGAACAAAATAGATTCCAACCGCTTCACGACTTGGAACATTGATGAAAGCTAAGGCTTTGGCCGAGTCAAACAACCTGAATAAAAAGAAAAAGTTTTTGTTGCAATCAAAGGCCAGTAATATTACATCTTATTCAAGAAAAAAAAAGGTTCTTTGAACTAAATACTAGTCCAAACTGAATACCTGTCAAGATGCTCATTTAGCTTAAAGACCTTCCCATCATAGATACGAAGTCCCTCCCAAACTGCATCTCCTCCTTGTACAACTGAATCAAACACTGAGACCTTCAGAAGTAAATGGTCAGACATAATAAATAAACAAGATTTCCAAGCATTATCTAAGACATTAAGCATAAATAGAAATACCTTTGCATCTTCTCGAGGTAAAATTTCATCACCTACCCAAACGAGTATTTTCTCATTGGCAGGGACAGGAAGACTTGGAGCAGGTAAAGAATGTTGCAGAGAAGAGGTTCGTCTCACATGGCGCCTAAGCATTTTGTAGAATGGCAAACTTTGTTCAAACAAGTCATATAGAGCTGGAGGAAATGGCTGGAACAAATGGATTGAATGAAAAAACTAAGCACAGACATAAAAAATAGAAGAAAAAAAAAATACGAGTGATGAGATGATTGTATTAAGGGAAACTGAAAAGTTAGCCTGCTTGTATAGTTTAATTTTATAAAAAGAATTAAGTTTCCTTAGTCTACACTAAATTACAGAATCAACCCAGCAGCTTTAAGCTTTGACCTCTAAAGTATGGTTGCTATCTTGCTACCAGAATGGTGAGCACAAAAAAAAATAAAAATAAAAATTCTTCCAAAAAAGTTAATAATTTCACAGGAAGAAAACTCGGATAACATGATAGTGTTGACTACATCATTATATATAATATATAAGAAAGAAGGATCACAGAAATATGAAAATTTACAAATCCTGAATGAAATGTAGAGATGATATGATCTGCGACAAGGATCCAACCCTCTAAACTAAGAGAACATGGTAGGTTGATAACATACATATCAGCCCTGCCTTTACACTCTGCAGGAAAAATAAATAAATAGTATATCGAAGTATTGTCCCTGTGCATCTAGAACTCTGAAAAAATAGCACTTCATCAATAAGTTGACTGAACAAACGGGGAGGGGTATAACAAATGGCATTAAAATCATTGATGATATACATGGAATGAAAGAAACATACACTACATTTCAGCATCACCAACATGTAGATCACTCCATAACTTAAAGCATGACCCACAAATGAGAATTCATACCACTGGATATGCTCGTGATGCTTTGAAACCCGTTGATTTGTGTACGCTACTGTACCACCATGGGGCCCAAATTCCATCTATTGGTTTTGGACCAGCTTCCCACCTGTGTCCATCAGCAAAATTTAAGCAATCATAGTCAGAAAAAAAAAAGCATTTGTAGCACAAAATTAGCACAACTTATTTCTAAAACTATCCTTGTTAGACTTATGCAAATCAGCTAATGTAGCATTTACATCAAAAATGTGTTCCACTACCATCAGGATGGAGCACACAAATCATTTCACTGTTGGGCTTTGAAATGAACAGTTCATATAACTTTCAAGGACATGTATCTACTACGTGATCGTATTAGGAAGTTTGCAAAATAACCCATATATTCCTCAAAGGCTAAAACCCTTGAGTAATGAATCGTAGGGCATATTTAATAGGGTACAACTCTCCATTAGCTAAGGTCAACTTGAATTTGCCATCTTAGACAAACACTCACCCTAGGTCTACAAAATAGCATTGAATGACTATAACCCATAGTTGCCAATAAGGATCATTCAATCAGGTTAAGTCAACAACCTTCTCTGACTAAATAGACCAGGGACCACAACAACTTGAGACGACGGAACCATAGGAACTTGATCGAGTTCATCATCATTTCCCCCGCAATCTGTTTCAAGTGAAAGATAATAAATTTCAAATCCTAAAATATTAAATTCGCTACTACTATACATTAGGTGCTTAGTGCCTACCTAACAACTAACATTTAATCAAAACTGCTCTCCTATCATCGAGAAGGCCAATTAACCATAGGGTATTACACTTATAGAAAACCTGAACTCAGATCTTAAAATCCTAATGAAATGACGGTGATATCTCTAGGTAGTATCTTATCTTCAATCCAATCTACCTTTGAAAACTTTCACCTGAAACTTAATCCATTAAAACTCTCCTAAAATACAGAGAGGCCAGGTCGCAAAATTATTGGAGCCCACAAGCTGCCCTTTGTCGAATCATTTTATATCATACTGGGACACCAAGCCATAACTTGTTCTTTCCACTTGCTCTACACCTAGAGGGATATGGTGATGTGGATTCGGTTGGGTATCCCAACACTCAACACTGGTCACAAGTTGGTGTGTGTTTCTTGATGCTTATTTGATCTCATGAAATAGTAAAAAAGCAACATTATATATCTAAATCATCTACTACATCTAAATACCACACAATATTTATAGCATGTTCAAATATTATTTGGTTTGAAATATTTATATTCCTCATAACAATCTACTCCTATACATGCAGATAATCCATCCAAATTTCTGCCAATCTGGTTTATCATTGAGTAGACAAAACATATTGAAGTTGATTGTACTCAATTCAGAAAGCTTTTGATAATCGAATTAGTTATATTCTTCACATTTCTACAAACATTGTAATTGTAAACTATTCACCCTTAGAAAATTGAAATGTTGCGCTAATGCACGAACCCTCGCTCTCTCAAGCTTTTAGGTTCCATTCTTCCCAAGGTAGATTGGAATTTAAATTAACCAGATTTTCCCTAAGGACAGTGTTAGAGTTTATTTAGTTATGAGGTTCCACTTCGTATGAGCGCAAGCCCTAATAGTTAATTATTCATAACACATAGAAGAGCATTCTTGATTAAGGATAAAATTATATTTAATTGTTCAAGAAGAGTAGAAGTGTGCAAGTGTTTTAGTTTTAGTTATGGGGGGAAGAAGGTATACCCGATCAAGATCTCATGGTTCAGTCATCCCGGATACACCGTAAGTTTCAGTCTACTAACACTAACAACCATTGATTGTAGTGTCCATAGAATTTGATTAGCAACCATGGGTTGCCTCCTCTCAGGAATCTCGAGTAAACTGAAGCGAAGAGATGAGGATTTTAATTTGGTTTGGTTTGGTTTGGGTTAGAACTTATGGCTCTGCTTAAGAGTTGCCCGTAGTTTTTTATATTTATGTTAGGTCTTACAACCCCGTTTAGGAGTTGCCTGTGTTTGGATTCGGGTTGGGTCTTACAACTTTGCTTGGAAGTAGCCCGTGTAGAAGTTTTGTTTGGAAGTAGCCCATAGAGGGGTCTAGGGTTAGGTTGCTACCTAGATGTTTCTCCTAAAAGTTGGACTTACGGTTTCTATTAGAAGTTGTCAGTTGGTGGGTCTTACAACTTAGCCCTATAGGCTAAGCTGTCTGGAATTAAGTGTGAATAGGTTTTAGGATTATTTCCCCAATGCATGAGACTTACTGCTTCACTTAGAAGTTGTCAATAGATATATGTTAAGGAAAGTTGGGCTATACCCATAGAGCTTCTTGTTTGTAGTTATTTGCTAGCGTTGCACTATATTGTAGTTTTTAGTTGTTTACTAACTCGACATTAGTAGTCTGCTATAGTACCATGTTTTTTTTTCTTTCAGTACTTTCTTTAGCGGTTAGTTTCAATAGTTAGCTTTACTCTTCCAGCATTAATTTTATTTTTTTTGTGCTAACTTTCATTTACTTGTTTGCAGGTGTTTGTGGCCAGCAGTTACCGTAGATGGAACTTGCAGTTGCGGGGGCTGTAATTTGCAGCTGCATAAACATATTTATGAAGGCAGGGAAATGACAATAGCATCAATTACTTGTGGACAAATTAAAGCTTCCTGATAAACTACCATAAATTCTAGGGGAGATATCAATGAGATATGTATTAATTACATGATTAAATACTACCTATAAATTCTAGCTAGAAATACATATAATTAAGTAGTATAGATTTGAATATTTAGCTTTTAGAAATATAATTATTTGCATTTTATTAGGATAAATCTAATCAAGCAAATCATTCGTTCACTGTTTTATATGATAACTATTCTTCTTTATATAATGAGTAGAAGGCTCTAGAGGAGGATATGCAATTTCGTGCATCAAGCTTTATTTATTATATACATCTATATCTTCTGTAACTATAATAATAACAATTTTTCCATCAAAATAGAAAATGTTGCAGTAAATACAATAAAATTGAGAAAAGCACTTCACATACTTCAACATCGAAGATTGAAAAGGAATACCCAAGTCATAGCAAAGACCACGGAGAGTTCCCTGTAGAAGAATTGAAGAATAATTTCAATGTTGAACTTTTGTTTTGCGAGAACAATATAATAGAAAACTTTATTACAGTTTTCAGTAAAGTAATGTAAAATGCCTGATCAGAATATAATTCATGCTGACTAGGAATGCAAGTTCAAGTTTTCATCAGCTATGTCAACATGCTAATATGATAACTAAGCATATCAAGTCAATTAAATGGATGTTATGCATTATAATGCTGTTCACATTGTTTTTTAAAAGATGTTTCTGTCTTAAAACAAATTTTTTAATAATTTTCAAAATAAATCTTCTTTATTTTAAGCTAAGATCACATTAACTTACTTAATTCACCTAATTTAAGTATCTAGATCTTCCATTTCTTGCTTCAGATATATTATGCATCTCATTATTCTTCTTACATAGTATTTAACCTCCAAAACAAAACATTAAGAGAAATAACTGTGAATTCACTTACTACCCTTAGTGTATATCATATTACTTCCACTAATTTCATTTATTGAAACCACATTTCTTTTCTTGATTGATAACCATTTAAATCACTTCACTGCACAATCAAGTCTCATTACCTGCATAGGATCTCTTTTAGTACTCTCGGGAAACTTCAAGGAGAATTTATTGATGAAACTATCTATTTTAATCCGCATCAAATTTAATTCAACTTTAAAATTCATCTTTGTCTCTTTTAATAATCTACCTTGAAAATCCAATTTGCTCTTTTAACAAGTTTTGGAAGACTAACATATCACCTTTTAGCTGAACCGCCTTATTCACATATTATTCTCTTTTAATTACTTTCTTTACACTCATAAATATGCATCTACAACTATTACTAAATGTCGTGCAATTAAGCCTTTTTTAAAATCTTATTGCTATTGCAAAAAAATAATATTTTTCCTTCTTAATAGAAAACAATTCAATTCAATAACCCCACTTTTAAAACAAAGTGCACAATCGAAAGTTGGTATCAAGGAATGTTGGTCTCAACCAAATTCACAGCTAATAAAGATAGGATAACCAGCGGTGATAAATTAGAAGGGGCATATAGTGCATCGTAGGATGAGAATTCAGTGAGTATGAAAAGGAATGAGACATAGAAATGTGATGTGAGAAATTAAATTTGATTTTACATTAACGTGCAAACTTGCAATCATGGATACATACATGTTTGAATGAATGGGGAGAGTGCTTTGTCACATTCTAAAGTGGATCTGAAAAAGAAATAAAAGTTTCTCACTAATGCAAGGCGATTCCAAGAATTAGACCTCACAACACAGTGGAAATTATGGATAAATAAATTAAAGTATAAAGAAAGTAATAAAAAGAAATAATCATCATAGTTTAGGATGATAAAACTTTCAAAGTGAGAAATTGTTAGTGTTCTAAAACATTATGAGAGGAAAATAGAAACTTTATATTGATCCAAACCTATGATGCACCGACATTTCTCCTCAGAGAGGCGTGCAGTGTCCGACACGTATCTAACACGACACGCGTCCGACAAGCCGAAAACATGTCTAATTAAAAATATTAAATAGAAATTGGACACGCGTGTCGGCAACACGCATATCATAAATATGTAATGATTTTTTAAATATAATTTATTGTATTTAAAATTTTTACTTATTTAAAATATAAAAATTAAATTATTTCCCATCCACAATACCAAATCAATCATCCGCACTTAATACCCCATTCATCAAATATTCTCATTTTCATTTCTCGTTGGCGGGTTACAACTTTGATTTCACAATGCTCGATGTCATCTCAACATCGACGACTGACGTCTCTACAACATCAACATTTCAAAACGATATCCATATCAAAGTCTGACGCAGTTTTTACATTGATGTTTGATGCTAGCAATTTCTACACCCATAACTTGATATCTCATATTTGTTCAATGTCATCTTAACATCGATGACCAACACCCTCTAAACATCGACGGTAAACACCCTCTTAACATTGATGCCCAATATTTACTTTATAACATCAATGCCTGACTCTCGACAACATTGTCATCTCCTCTCTCGATGACTGATAAATGGCACCAACACCCGATTCTCGGCATCCTAATATTAATCATTTTAAGCGCAAATTCCAATTAAATGACTTATTATTTCTAAATTATTTTTTAAATTATACTTATTCAATTTTTATAAACTATTTTTAAAATATAAAAATTATAATACCATATCCAACCCGTGTCCTATATTTTCAATATTTGACGTGTCTTGTATCTGTGTCGTGTCGTATCCGTGTCGCCATGTCCATGTCTGTACATCATAGATCCAAGCTTGATTGAAGTTAAAATGGCTAGCTGTATTGGAACATTGTCATAGTACTTTGTTGAAAATCCCTAAAGGTTGCTTCTTGCAGCCCGTAACCTATTTTCTGCAGATATTAATTGGCAGCTTGTTCGTGTAATACATTTAGGGGCTGTTTGGTTGCCTGAAAAAGAAATGTAGTGTAAAGTAAATGCAATGTAAAGTAAATGTATTGTATTTCGAATACGTTGAGACTGTTTGGTTGTCTGCAAAATAAACGCAGGAGAACTATTTCCCTTGTTTGATTAGGTAGATCCAGAGTAAAGTAAAAGTTATTTTTAAAAAAATAATTTGATAGAAATCATGGATACTCGTGCAACCATCTGTTAGTATTTTCATCAAAACCTCTCACATCGCCATTTTCCAATTTCAATATTTTTTGTTATATTCATAAGACTCGAATTGAAGGGCTCTTAGGCATTGTTTGGGATAAAATATTACTTTCTAAAGCTGCTTTTTAAAACATTTTTTTTCAGCTATTCATAAGCCTCGAATTGAAAGGCTCTTAGGCATTGTTTGGGATAAAATATTACTTTCTAAAACTACTTTTTAAAACATTGTTTTTTAGCATATGAAGGACATTCAAGGAAAATTCAAGGAGACTCGCCGGATTTGAATTGCTTGAGCATTGAGCGCACCAACCTACCACCGGATTGGAACATCGCCGAATTGGATAAGCTCTGTTCAGCTCTGGAACGATAATTGCAGTGATGAGATTGTCAATTTCAAGAAAGATTCCCACAAGGTGATGTATCCATAAAAACAAAATCTTTTTTATTTTGTAGATTCGTATTAAAAGTGGAGTTTTGCAGCAGCAGAACGGGGAATCCAAAAGTCGAAGCGATGGCGTCGGAGCTTTCTTGCCGTTGAAAGTTATTCCGACGAGGAATGAAGAAAAAACTCTGAGTATCTCGTCGTCGGAACTTCGGGCTCTGGCAGCCACTGCATCGGCGGTCGCCAGCGACAATCGTATCAGTCAGTCGGCACCATCGACTTCGGTTGGCAGCGCCTACTTGGTTTTGCAGGCTCAGAGGAAAGCGCGGCGAAGAACGCGGGGAATAACGCGGAACTCGCCTGCGATATGAATGGCGTTAAAGAGTATCCGAGGCGGGCGCCACCGCGAGCACAATCGATGAGGAGAAGACGAAGCTTCTGAAGAGTAACATGAAAATCAGAGAGGCCGAGCACGGCCGAGCGAATAAGCGCCGTGGAAAAGGGACGGAGATCGTCAAGGAAGGCGACGATGATGGTGGCGTAGCAGAAAGCCTCACGCGCGGCCCGGCGGTGAGTGTCGAAGTTGCCGGTTTGGTGTCGACCAATGACATAGATTGCACCGTCTCTTCTCGGCTCCCTTGTCGTCGTTCGACTTCGTTCATTCGCGTGAGAGCGACAGACCGCACGGATCTCTCCTTCCTTTCTTTCGTTGCTATTCGACTTCGGCTCCCTCTTGGCTATTCGACTTCGCTCTTCGCAGGAGGGATGGCAGGAGGCTGGTTCTTGAGCGAAGAATTTCAAACCCGCTCATTTTGAGCGGCTTTCGAAGTCGCAGGATCTGCCTCCCGTAATACATGCCTAATGCTTCGGAGGATTTTCTTTTGTTCCGCTCAAAATTAACCAAACAGCCGAATTTAGTAAATACATATATTTATTTTACTTTACCCTCCTAATTCAAGCAACCAAACAGCCCCTTAGGAAAGTTGCCTCCTGCAACCCATGAACTACTATTTGAAATATTAATTGGTAGCTTGTTGTCCATGGAATGCAATTAGGAATGTTTTATTGCTGGTGAATTCCAAGATAACTTCACAAATTGTGGAATATCTGTCTACAAGAAAAATCGTGGAGTGGGTGTTTGAATTGATGTTTTCCATTACGATATTTACAAATAGATTCTCTTATATATTTTTGGTGTAATTATGCATACTTCCTACCTTGATCATTCCCACTTTATTGTATCAAGTACAGCAGCTGACCTTCCACATATTACTGGTAGTCCTTGTGTATTAAATCATTTTCTTTCAGCCAAGAGAAATTGTAGTGAAATGGAATAGAATTCTTTGGCCTCTTTCTGACATGTTAGCAAAGCCTGTTTACTTCACGAAAGTGAGATTGGCGATGGCTTCCCTCACTGGGTTAAGCAAGGCCAGAGAGGAGGGTAGTTTATCTTCCTCTTTACCAAGCCTCGCCATTAATCCATTCTCTTTTGTGGATCACTCCCCACTCCATATTACTTCTACTAAATTGTAGGAATTACCACCAATAGTCACCTGATCCAAATGGAAGGAAAACTTGGATACCCACACGATGCAACATATCCTCCCCATACAATTTTGGATACTAAAAATGCGATGTATTGGCTCATCAACTACATGGAAGAGCATATTGACTCTATTGGGTTCACAATACTGCAAAAGCATTCAGAAAAAGGCTATGATGCACCGACACTCCGCTTAAAGAGGATATGCAGTGTCGGACAAGTGTGGGACACGGACACGCGTCGGACACGGCATGGACACGTGTCCGACACAGCATTGGAGTGTCGCAATTTAAAAAATTAAAATTAAAATCGGACACGCGTGTCCGGTTATTAAATGAGGTATCGCTAGGTACATGCTCGGTATCGCTAGGTACATACTCGGTACCGCTCAGTACATGCTCGGTATTGCT